CACCCCGGCCCAGCGCTGCCCAGGGTCCGCCAGGAGCGCCCCCGGGAGGCGGAGCGGCTCTCCAGAGAGCGGGAAGAACATGGAGCCAAGGCAACATCAACCTTTCCACCCCTTCAACCGCATTCCCGCCGCGAGCAGCTCTGAACAACCAAGGGCACAGTACCCAGCAGGGTTTCAATATTTTACCTTGTGGTACGGTCCCAGCCGGCCGCCATATTTCACATACACCCGGGCCGCCGTGTTCCCGTGTACCGGGAAATATCGCGAGAACAAAAGCGGCTCTCACCAGTGAATACATCAAAGGGAAGCACGTAGTTTCTCGCGATACTGCCTGTGTGACGTAACTTCGCGACTGCGGGGGCGTGGTCAAGGTGAGGGGCGTGTTCGCACGGACAGGAGGTTGGGAAGTGGTTCAGTTGCAGGCACGCTCGGGTTGGGTCTGTCGCGGGAGGCGTCGAGTCTCTGCCGCGGAGACCGATCGCCTCCGGTGAGAGCTGGGCCGTTGTTGGGTTAGCTCGCCCGGCTCTCCTTCCTTCTCCGCAGTTTTACGCCCAGTCTGTTTCCCTCCCAGTCTGTTTCCCTCGTTAAGAGCACTTACACTTCTTTCCAGCGTAGGTGATGGTTTCAAGTATTGTTTTAACTCGGTCTTTGTCATATTTCCTGCGCCTGAACCTCCTGGGAGAACGCGCGGCCCTTCCTCTCGGCCTGCAGCCCAGTGACTCCCTCTGTCTCTTCCCATCGCTCGGTGGTGCCTGCCGTGGGGCCGGAAAGGCGGAATCCCTTTCCAGCTGCTACCTGTCCCCGGACTTAACATTCACATCTTAGGGTATAAATTACCTGGTTTAGTGACCTAAAGAGTCTACCAGAAGCAATAACTACGACCAAATTCGTACGCAGAAGACACTGTTCAGCACTTGTCTGCCCTTGCTAACCCCTATTCAGGTGACATCATTACGTGCCTGCTTAATGCGAATAATTTCAGCCGAGGTGGTAAAGAGTCAGCTGTCTAACTGGCTGATTGACTCAGCTAGAGAGGCAAGGATATACCTTGACCGCCGACTGAACTGTTCCTCAGTTTAAGTTTTATTTACTGATATGTGAAATCTCATGAAGTTGAAACCATCCCCCAAAATAAGATGGATTTACACGGTTGCAATTTCTTTTCCAGGCTTTCAAAGTTAGTCCGATTAAAGCAATTTAAAGTAAACACGTCCTTCATTTACTTAATAAGCATAGTTCAGTGGTTAAGATCATAAACTCTAGAGCCAGGTATATCGTTTGAGACACTTTTATTTCATCTCGTGTCTCCATTTCCTCTTCTGTAAAAAGGGCATGGTAATATCTCCTAGGGCAATAAGAGGAGTTAATTGAGATAATATATAACTAAAATATTTCTTCATTTTAACAATAAAGGCATCAGCAGTTCTTTTCTCCAGGATCTAAGACTGTACAGGCTCTTGATGGCCGCTGTTGTTCCCTTACCCTGGTCTCTAGAGTAATCTCCTTGCAGGGTAACAACCCCATAGGAGTTGGGTTTCCTAGCACCGTATAGCAAAACTGACTACTTTGGTCGCACAGTTAAAAAAACAACTCACTATTTTCTAAGCTCACAAGACAATATCACCTGAACAGTTAAACTCTCATGACTTGTGTGTCTGTGTGTGTGTGTGTGTGAAATTCACAGTCTCCAGCAAGCTGAGCCTATACTTTACCACATGCTGTACCCCAGCAGAACCCTGCTTAACTTTATTTTTCAGTTTTTATATTAATGCATGTTTATAGTACATAATGATTATATTCCTCTGAGACTTGGTGCATGGATATAACACATCTTAATTCTGTTCTCATTTCCTTCTTCCCTTTCACCCTTTTCCACCATCTCTTGGTCCCTTCCCTTTTCCAAAAGACCTGCCTTCCTATTTCCTATTTTCTGTTTTTTAGTTTGCTTTTTACTTATATCTTGAGTTTCTGGCTAGTTACCAGTGTTATCTTGTATTACAGTGGTTATGTCTGGAAAGCAATTTGCTTTAAACAAAATCCAGTCATAATTATGTATTACCTACTGAAGATAGGTTTTACACTGGGATAAACAACTTGTCCAAAACAACCTGTGTTTTTAGTAAAGATGATCAAAACATGTTTTCATGTCATTTTTCCCTTCATCATAGTTTAAGCACACATTTTAGCAAGTAGCAAAATTAAATTAAATATTTTGTACTGCATAGATATTCACAGGTGCCTCAGTTAGTATATCCCAAGTGGATTTGGTAACATCCCCAAATCTATTTCTTCACTTCCTTGCCTAGAAAAGTCAACATTACACTGACATCAAGTTCAGTCAGGTTAGAACCCTCAGCATCTCCTCTTTCTAATTGCCTGTCCCAATGCCAATTTTGATCATGAGACTCTCCCCAGCCTCACTACACTCCAGGCCCTCATAGTCATTTTCTCCACCTTCAAATGATTGTTAATGTTATCTTCAATTTTTCACTTACACTTTCAGATGTTGTAGTTTGCATTTCATCTTTCTTAATGCCAGAATGCTGGACAATAAACCAAATGAAGAACTTGAGGTTCCGAGACTCTCAAATGAGGTAAGAGATATAAGTAAAAATAAACTGAGCAGGGCTACTGTGAAGGGACAGTAGCCTCTTCCCTCCTTCTACCTGCTTGGAATGTGCCTGTAATGGCTTGTGCTCAGCAGCAATTTTTTTACATGACTGAATCAGACACATTGAAAATGGTGAAGAAAGATGGAAAAGCCTCAGTCCCTCATGACTCTGTAGACTTACCTAGCAGCCCTAGACCTCCTGCAAGACACACTTCAGTTAGTAAGAGAATATACTTATCCCTTCAATCTGCTGTAGTCAGATCTTTAACCAGCAGCCAGCATGTAATTCCTAATGGAGTCAAGAAAGTTTGCAGTATTTTTAAGATCGCTAAAACCAGAATCTCCCTATTACAGACCAGTCTTATTTTCACCTCTGTGCATGTTACTTTCATTTGTATGTTCTAGTGCTTTTGATCTCTTCTCCTTAGTGTTGACCTGCTGTGGCCTTGGTTAATATCTGAAAGCACTCAGCGGCAGCATGGTATGGTATGGTAACTATGTTGACAGTCAGATAAAATCTGGGTCTCTGAGCTTCAGTACTCATCTTGGCAAGTGGGAGTAATTCCTTTCTCATACAATGTGCTTAGCAATGTATGTAAAACACCGCAGACATAAAAAGCTGTTAAAGTAGCTAGTTAAATCCTGGGTGGGAATTTGTTTCTTATCTATATCTTTTTTAATGATTCAACTGTTACATGTTATGGTTTAGATCTAGAAGGCTCCTCAAAAGCCTCATCCGTTCAAAGATGGGTGTTTGCTAAAGTAAATGAATCATGGGGGAGCTATGCTCATCTGTGGAGATCCACTGATGCCTTCTTTTGTGTCTGCTGATGCCTTCCCAATGTGTTGTAAATTGGAGCCAGGTCAGAAGAGGTGGGTTACTGGAGGTGTGACCTGGAAAAGTATATTCCTGACCTCCCTCCTCCCCGCTCTGCTTCCTGGCTGCCATGAGGTGAGTAGCTTTCCTCTGCCAGGCCTTTCCACCATCCTGTGTCTGCCCTGGAGCCAACTGACCATGGACTGAATCTCCTGACCTGTGAGCCAGATTAAACCTCTCTTCCTTTCAACTGTGAGTCTTGGGTATTGTGACCAGCAACAGGAACGCTGCCTGATACTCTTAAACACAGAAAAGACGTACATATTAACAGGACCGTGCAATATGTTTAAATCGGGTTAACTTACTGATCTCAAACAGTTGGCATTTCTTCGTGGTGAAAGCTTTTAAAACCCACTCTTTTAGGTTTTGAAGTGTGTTGTGTATCCCTGTCATCTATAGTCACTGTGCGTGCTGTACAGGAATGCACCATAGCTGCTGCTTCCGTCTAACTGCAGAGTGGTGCCTCCCACTCAGTCTGCCCTGCTCTCAACTCTTCCAACCTCAGTTAATTGCTGCCATACTCTCAGCTCCTGTGAGATCAACTTTAAAAAAAAAATTTTGAACTCATAAAAAATGTGTTTAGTTAAACACTGCAAATACAAAGTAAAAATGGTCAGTCAAAATAGTACAGTATCTATATTCACTATCCTCTCAATAAGTAAGGAAATATAGTAGGCTTAAGGCAAAGTCTGACATTCCATAATATTAATCTCTGTAAAATGTACTTTAATCTTTTGTTGCATATTTTTTTCAGTTCATTTTTGGTATACATTGCCAATACATAATATTTACATTTGTTCTGTGAAGTCACTACCTACGTATAACAATCTTGATCTTTTTATCTTTCTCCTCTCCCTAGAGTGCAACTCCTTTAGACTCTTACATATGAGATCATGCAGTACTTGTCTGTCTGTGCCTGATGCAACATAATAATTCCCAGTTGCACCCAGGTTATTGCAAATGACAGGATTTCATTCTTTTTCATGGCTGTATATTCCGTCATATATATGTACCACATTCTTTATCCATTTATCAGTTGAAAGGCATGTAGGTTGTTTTCACTTCTTGGCTATTATGAATAATGTTGTAGTGAACACAGGAGTGCAAGTGTCCTGGCAGCATCCTGTGCATTTCCTTTAGATAGAGACCCAGTAAGTAGTGGAATGGCTGTAACACATGTAGCTCTCATTTTAATCCTTAGAGAAACCATAGACTCTTTTGCCATAATAGTTATATTAATTTACACCTCCACCAGCAGTGTGCAAGGGTTCCCTTCTGTCCACATGCTTGATAGCATTGTTACCTTTTCTTTTTGTTAAAAGCCACTCTTACTGCAGTGAGGTGATTTCTCGTTGCAATTTTGATTTCCATTTCACTGATGATTAATGATATTGAACATTTTCTCATTTGCTCTTTTTGGCCATCTGTGTGATTGTTTTTGTTTTTTTTTAACAGTCATGGTTTTATTCATAACACAGTTGCACAAACGTATCAACTTCAAAGTTTTTAAGGAGAGGTTCTTGAGGAATTTAACACATCATATACATACTGCCATACAAACAGCATTAAAATAGGACACAAAACATCTGCAAAATATAAAACCCACCCTTACTCATTTGCATGAAAATACCACCCACAAAGCTACATAAGTCTTAAAAGTTGCCTGGAGGCTCTAAGTGTTTTCAAATCAAAGAACTCTTATTATGAATGCACAATAAAAAGATTGATAAGAAAGTCAATATATAGATTTAATTTTAAAAATAAGTATTTTCTAAGATGGCATAGTGCACAATGAGAAATCTTAGGGACTAAACAGGGCATTCCAATTGTTAAATTAGTAGAAAAATGTTAGTCTTGTGGAGATTCCAGGCCCCAACAAATTTATGCCCAGTGTTTCCAGCCAGTTGTGTAACTTTTTTAGTTTCTCCACCAATGTTTTCATAATTTTACTTTAAAATTATGTCCTCCATTTTACACTAAAAAAGCAGCAGCAATACTATACTGGTTTGAACGTGTCCCGGTGGAGAAGCATAATTTCAATTTGCTGACACTTTTTAAAAACTTATAAATATTAAAAAAGAAGAGAAAAAAATGCAGTCAGCCGAGATTAAAAGCACAATGCCTTGGACATGGTGCCTCCTTGACGAAAAGGGAGACAGAGTTGTCCCCCATCAGGGTCTATGTAGTAGCCATAGAAACACACCCTCATGCTTCTCTCAGATACTGTTCTGTTTGTAATGAACATCAGCTTGAAAACCTTAATAACTGATTTAGCTTCAATTTTTTCAACTACCTACCATAGTCCAAAAGTGTTTTATCTGGTAATGTGTTAAAACTATAAGAAGAATAATTAAAGTTCTACTGAGAAAAATGATAGATACTTCACAGGGTTGGAATCCAAATCCTTTGGGAAGTCAATTGAAATTTAATTCTCAATGGACAGTGGTTCAGAGTTTTGAGAAACACTAACACTACTTCCAAAAGCCTCCCTTGTTTCTGTTCTTCCTTCATCCTAATAATGGTCTCCCATGCTGTCAGCCCAGAAGCATTTACAGTAAGTAGAACCTGTTGAATAAAACTGTATCAACAACAATTCAGATCTCAAAAAAAGACTCAATTTCTTCCTCACTCATTTAAAACCTGTACAGATCTGAAAAGGTGACTGAGGTATGAGACTAAAGGTTTCCTGGGAATCCACCAGGTGCCCAAACCTTCTGGGCTAGAAAGATGAGTGAAACAAGAAGAGAAAGAAAACACAGAAGTTGCTGAGATAAGAAAGAACACAAACCTGGAACAAAACAAACCACCGCTGGCATCTCAGGAAGGGGCTCACTGCATGCCTCGGACTTAGTACAAGCAATTTCTCCTTCAAAAGTAAACTATTTTTATCACTCACCACAAAATCCATGAACTACATTAAACACTGAGTGGCAACCCCCCAATCCATGAAATCCGCTGCTGAGTAGGACCTGTATTATCCTGCATCTGCTTTCCAGTTTAGCTCGGGTAACGAGCATCCAAATACCCTTAGCCAGTAAGTAAGTCACTGCCTTCTAACTAAAAATCTCTGAGTCACTTCTAAAAAATAATGAACTTATCATTCAAGAGACTTGCCATTTCACATTACAGCTGACTGTAATTTCAGCTAATTTATAAATAACTTTACAACTTTATGAATGAAATGCACCAAATTACGCCCCTGTACAAGTGATGTGAATTTGGGCTAAAATGACTAATACAGTGTGTTTGAATTAGAAAAAGCAAGATTCTAAATAAATTGCTAGGGAATTTCACAATGGTGGGGGGGGTCAATGAAAATTTTCCTGTACATACAATCTGATCATTAACAGATTAGTGAATCTTAATTGGAATGACGAGGCAAAATATTAAAACCACACTTTTCCCATAAAGTTACACATTCTCTCCTGCAAAAAATAGCTATCATATAGGAAGGAATGAAGATGTGATCACTCTACTGCACACCTGGGAATTCTAGGGAACATGGCCTTGGAGTGAGCCAGGCATCATCTTCCTCTTCCTCCTCCTCTTCTCCTTCTTCAACATAGTCATCATCATCTTCCTCATCCTGAGTTTCTTCTTTCATTAAGTATGAGAGGCCCACTTCCTCCTCTCCCAGTTCTGAGCCTGCTTCATCTTCCTCCTCATCTTCATCCCCATCTTCCTCCTCTTCCTCTTTCTGCCCTTCAGGAAGACCAGCTTCATCTTCATCATCTTCATCCTCCTCCTCTTCTGAGTCAGGGGCTTCATTATCTTCCTGATCATATCCATCTAAATACATGATTTGCTGAAGCAGTTCAAAAATACTTTCTTGGTAATCTTCCAGGTTTGTGATCTCACCATGAAAGAAATCCAGACTTTTCCATTTTCTAAGATTTTGCAGAGCTTCTACTGTACTCAGATCTTTGATTTTGTTTCCACTCAGATTGAGGTACATAAGATGTGGACGTTTTTCTGCTAAAACTTCCAAGCCTCCAGAAATTGCATTGTCACTACGTTCCAACTTCTGAAGTTTATTTAGGCTGGGAGGCTGGGTCAGTGAACTTAATGCCACGTTAGCCACACTCAGAAATTCTAGTTCCTTAAAAGTGTCATTCTGGCCCTCAATTTCCACATTGACACACAGGCAATTATCAACGACCAATTCTGTGACCTCCTCTGGGGCTCTGTTCCTTAACTCCAGGCTAATCCTCTTCTTCATCTCCATGTCTTCTTCCTGCTCTTCTGCTACTACTCTCCTTTCTCCTTTCCTGCTGTTCCCACTACCCAACCACACAATTCCTTCCCCTTCAAATGCTGCTCAGAGACTCCTGTGTGATTTCTTTTAGGAAATATCTGCTGAGAGTTATTGCCCATTTTAAATTGTTATTGGTGTTCCTTATATATACTAGATATCAGTCCCTCTACTGATTTCCATATATTATACCATCTTTACCTCTCTGCAGTGACACCCATTCAATCATGGTGAATAATCTTTTTAATGCCCTATTGGATTTGTTGTGCTAATATTTGGCTGAGAATTTCTGCCTCTGTGTTCATCAAGGACAGTGCCCTATAGTTTTGTTTCCTTATCTGTTTTTGATGTAAAACAGATTCTGGTTGTATACATGGCAAGTATTTTCTCCCATTCTGTAAGTTGTCTATGCCCATGCTTGATTGTTTTTGTTACTGTAAAGAAGCTTTTCAGTTTGATAAAACTTCATTTGTCTGTTATTGATTTTGTTTCTCATGCTTTTGTAATCTTTTCTAAAAATGTCCTTGTCCATTACAATGTCTTTAAGCATTTCCCCTGTGTACTCTTTTAGCAGTGTCACTCTTTGAGTTGATCTTTATGATAGGTAGCTAGCTTAACTCTGATGCTTGTGAATACCCAATTTTCCCAGCACAGTTGAAAAGACTTTTTCTCCAGTGCATGCTCTTATCATCTGTGCTGAAAATTAGTTGCCTGTAGATGCCTGGATTCATTTTTACCTCTCTCTTCCATTGATCTGTCTGTTTTTATCCAAACAATGAGGTTTGATTACCTTAGCTTTGTACTGTGCTTTGAAGTCAAGTAATCAAGTGTTTCCTCATTTGTGCTTTTTGCTTTGTTTTGGGGGCTGGCTATTTGTTGGGGTTTTTTGTGTGTAATTCTATATAAAATTTACAATTATTTTTTCTACTTCTGTGGAGAATACCATTGGGATTTTAATAGGGATTACACTGAATCTATAAATCACTTTGAGTAGTATGAGCATTTTAATGGTATTCATGAATACTTCCATTCACAAATAGGTGTCTTTCTACATTCTTGTGTCGTCTTCAGTTTCTTTCATTAATGTTTTATAATTTCATTGTAAAGATCTTGTACCTCTTACATTAAATTAATTTATTCACTCATATTTTATTTTTTAGCTCTTGCAAATGGTATTGCTTTTTGATCTTTGCTATTGGCATATGGCAATACTACTGATATTTGTATGTTAATTTTGTATCCTGAAACTTTGATGAATTCATTTATTCATTCTAATGATTTTGGTGTTTAGGAGTCTTTTATATATAAGATCACATCACCTGCAAACAGTGACAATTTGACTTCTTTTCCAGTTTGGTTACCCATAGTATCTTTCTCCTGCCTAACTTCTCTGGGTAGGATATCCTTCACTATGTGAAATAAAAGTGGTTAAATTGAGTATCCTCATTTTATTCTAAATCTTAGAAAGAATTCTTTCAGCTTCTCCCCCTTCAGTATAATTTTAGCTATTAGCTTATAAATGGCCTTTATTATGTTGAAGTTCCTTAGACACCTAATTAATCCAATGTTTTTATTATAAAGGGATGTGGAATTTTGTCCATTGCTCCTTCTGCATAAATTGAGATAATCATGTGGTTTGAATGCTTCATTCTGTTGGTGTGGGGTAAAACATTCATCAGTTTGCATGTGTTGCTCCATTTTTGCATCCCTGGATGAATACCATTTGATCACAGTGAATAATATTTTAAATCTACTACTTAATTTGGTTTCTAATACCTTGTTGTGGATTTTTTCATCTGTGTTAATCAAAAATAGTGACCCATATTTTTATTTGTGTGTTTCCTTAATCTGGTTTTGGTATCAAAGTGATTCTGGCTTCATTGAATGTGCTTAGAAAAATTCCTCCTTCTGTTTGTTGGAATAACAAGGAAATGGCATTAGTTCTTATTAAATATTTGTTGGAACTCATCCATGAGGCCATCTGGTCCTGGGCTTTTCTTGAATGAAAGACTTTTATTATTGATTCAGTCTCATTGTTACTGATCTGTTTGGGTTTTCTGCTTTTTCATGATTCCAACTGTGTAAGGTATATGTGTCTAGGAATTTGTGCATTTCTTTTAGACTAGACAACTTGTTGGCATGTAGATCTTAATCTCGAATGATCTTTTCTATTTCTATGGTGTCAGTTACAATGTTTGACTCCATCTCTAAATTTGTCTTATTCCTTTTCTTAATCTAGCCAAGGATTTTTTTATATTATCTTTTTGAAGAACCAGCTCTTTGTTTCATTGATCTTTTGTATTTTTTTCAATATTCTTTTCACTTATTTCTGCTCTTATTTTTATTATTTGCTTCTTTCTACTAATTCTGAGTTTAGTTTCTTCTTGTTTTTCCTATTCCTTCATCTGGAGTGATAGGTTGTTTGAGATTTTTATACTTTTTTTGATATGGACATTGTTTGCTGTAAACTTCATTCTTAATGCCACTTTTGCTGAATCCCATAGGTTTTGGTATGTGTCCATTTTTACTTGTTTCAAAAAAAAGTATTGAATTTTTTCCATTTGTTTATTGACCCACTGGTAATTCAGAACATGTATTTGTTTAATTTCTAAAATTTTTCTTGTTACTGATTCCGGCAAAGATACTTAATAAATTTCAAATCTTTAAAAATGTGTTGGGACTTCTTAGGTGGCCCTTATGGGATCTATCCTGGAGACTGTTCCACATGCTGGTGAGGAAAATGAGTATGCAACAGCTGCTGGATGTAGTAATTTTCAGATGTCTGTTAGGTATGTTTGGCCTAGGGTCCAATTTAAGCTGAATGTTTCTTTGTTTAAATTTTCTGTCAAATGATCTACCCATTGCTGAAAATTAAGTGTGAAAAGTTCACAACTATTCTGTAGTGGAGGCTCTCTTTCCTTTTAGATCTACTAGTACTTGCTTTATGTATTTGGATGCTCCAATATTGGGTACATATAAATGTAGAATTATTTCCTCTTACTGAGTTGTCCCCTTCATCATTGTATCATGACCTTCCATGTCTCTTTTTATTGCTTTTGACTTAATTTTATCTAGTATGAGTATAGCTGCCCCTGCTTTATTTTGGATTCCATTTGCATGGAATATCTTCACTTTTTTCCCTTCAATTTCAATCTGTATGTTCTTAGAATTGAATCAAGCTTTCTTGTAATCATCATATAGCTGGGTCTTTTTAAAAATTCATTCAGTCACTCTTGTCTTTTTTCATTGGAGACCTTAAACCATTTATATTCGAGGAAAGTATTGATAGGTAAGGTCTTACTGTAGCAATTATGTAATTTGTTTTCTAGTTTTGTTGTTCCATTTTTTCTGTTTCTCTTATAATTTCCCTAAAATATGCTCCTTCCCGTGTTACACTTTCTTGACATGTGAGCCTAGTTAGTTACTACTGTTGGCCGCTCCCCTCTGTGACACTAATAACATCCTATTGATAGTGTGTGATCAGACAAGGCATTGGTGCAGCCATCCATGCAAACTATGTATATGTAGAGGCAGGGGTTGTGTTCTGTGCTTACTCAGGACCAGGACTTTATGTTCTATGGATATGCATGTGGAGGTGACAACCAGGTTTTATTCCTGGTAAAAAGCTAATCTTCCTATAAAAGGTAAGAGTGGAACATGGCAACATGGAGAACAATATGATTATGTACCTCCTTTTATATGAAGAATGGGAAAGAACCACATTTGTATATCTCAAGTATTTTTACATGTAACTCTGTAGGCGTATGTTAGTACATTTTGCACTTAAATATTGTGTCTTCTTATGACCAAGATGTGCTTATATAAACATTGAACATGTATTTCTCACTGTGCATATATCACACACAGACAGATGCAATCCCTCTCTGTATTTGCCAATGTTCTTTAACTTCTACACAGATTTTTATTTTCTTAAATGCTTTTGTATATCTACTATTTTGGTTCACTTATTTCAATGACTTCTCCTTTATTTTTACTGATACATCTTAATAAAATTGTATAAAATTTTTTGTAATTTGCCTGTTCTTTTCTTACCCATGTGATAGTTGGTTCCAAATCTTTTGGTGTGCTGCCTTTGCAGATAATCATTGCTCTATCATATTTTCTGCCAAATATTAAGCTAAAAATTGTTCCATACCAATGTATTATATATTTTAATTGGCCACTTTCCTTACTCAGTTTTCATCTACTAGATTTTAGACACACTATATATAGCTATTACATCATTCTTTTTACTAGCACACAGTATTCAGAAAATGAGCCATAATTACCACTGTTTAACACTTAGGCTATTTTTGTTTTTTTATAGATTACATCAAGTATCCAGATCACAAATAGGTGCATTCATGCCAGTATTGTGGGAAATAGAATCATTAGACCATGAGGCATACACTTTTGCAACTGACAGTTACTGCCTCATTTTGGTAGAAAACAAAAATAGATATAACAAATTGATCTCTACCCAGTTATGTTTATGACTTAGAAATATGTCAAGAATGTCTTTAAAATATTCATGCCCTAAACTGGCAGTTCTTGTGAGAAATTTATCTTCAATCAAAGCTAGATCTGGAAAAATATATGTAAAATTTATTTTTCTAAGAATTATGTATAGTTATTAAAATTATATTTTAAAATAGACTTTATTAATATGAAGCAATGCTAATAACCATAAGTGAAAAAATATAAAACACATTATTGCTGCTATGTAAATATAGACTCAGAAAATGTAATTAAAAATTTACCAACAAAGAAAAGCCCAGGTCCTGATGACTTCACTGCTGAATTCTATAAGACATTTAGAGAAGAATTATTGCCACTACTCTTTAAACTTTTCAATGAAATTAAAAGGGAAGCAATACTTCCAAATTCATTCCTAAAAGCAGTTGTTAATTTGATTCCAAAAATGGAAAGACCCAATCAAAAAAGAGAACTAAAGGCCAATCTCCCTAATGAACATAGATGCAAAAATCCTCAGTAACATACTGGCAAACAAAATACAGAGGGTCATTAAGAAGATCATACACCCTGACCAAGTTGGATTTATCCCAGGGATGTAAGAATGGCTTAACTTATGTGAATCCATAAATGCAATACACT